AAAAAAAAATGTTACTTCATAAATAATAACAAATGTGATTTTAATGATATTTTGACCACTGAAAATAGCCTCAAAAGCTGTTACTAGGGTGGTACCCTTTCAAAAGGTACTAATATGTACATTTAAGGTACAAATATGAAGGTACATTGATGGTACAAAAAGGCACCAAAAGGTACAAAAGTGTACCCTTTTGAAAGGGTACACTCTAAAAAATGCTGGGTTAAATATAACCAGCGCTGGGTTAAAAAGGGACAAACCCAGCGGTTGGGTTCAAAACAACCCAACCGCTGGGCAAAACAACCCAATAGCTGGGTTTGTCCCTTTCTAACCCAGCAATTTTTAGAGTGTACTACCCCAGTGACAGCTTTTTTAACTTTTTGAGTGTATGGTAGGAAATGTCTGCAGTTTTTATTACGTACAGTATGTAGGTAACATTAACGTGAGCCTTTATCAAAGCCGTCTGTAAATGCGTTTCATGATGTTGTTCTGTGTCAAAGGCACCGTTTGTTGCTGGGCAACTGGATTTTTGTCTGAAGCACTTAGACGTCTTTACTCCATCTATAAACACTTGATTTTTTTCTGAAATATTGTTAATCTTCATCTGTCAAAATTTGAAGGAATATTAGCTGTGGGTATACCACTGTTCTACTAACATGTTTGACAAAATAACCAATTAAGAATCTGTTATTTTTAAGAGCGTAGCATTATAGCAAGAGTTTTGGATGGCCAAACCACTCATATTTTCTTCAGAAAATATAGTTTGAATTTGAAAGAAATGTTATATCTGGCTATTTTTAACTTTCAGTTTTGAAAACTGATTGAGCTGGAACTGTAATACAACCCCTGTGTGTGGTTTCCGTATGGTGGGTTTAATTATATACCATCACTGTCAGCGGTTCACAGGCTGCTCCAAATGCGAGTGTGAAAGAGCTCTACTGAGAGCCATCTACGGTACAGATGACCTGAGTGAAGACATGGCATCAGTAGATGTGTGGAAACACACAGATGCGGCTAACAGACGAGATCGAGTAAGAACTCGCTTATTTATCTTCAGTATTAAAGATTACCTAATACATATTTTTAAAAGAATATTTACACTAACAAAGAATAGTAGGTAACACATTAGTTAACATTATTTAACGCATTAACTAATATTAAAGGGATATTTAACCCAAAAAATGAAAAATTTTGAAAATGTTCATCACCATCTGGCCATCCAAGATGTAGATGAGTTAGTTTGTTCATTAGATTTGGAGAAATGTAGCACTGCATCACTTGCTCACCAATGGATGCTCTGCAGTGAATGGGTGCCGTCAGAATGAGAGTCAAAACAGCTGATAAAAACATCACAGTGATCCACACCACTCCAGTCCATCAGTTAACATCTTGTGAAATGAAAAGCTGTGTGTTTGTAAGAAACAAATCCATCACTGGATGAGAAAGCAATAATTTCGACTCTCATTTTAGCCGGAATGGTTTAAAGTTAAAACGTCTTAATGATGGATTTGTTTCTTACAAACACACAGCTGTTCATTTCACAAGACATTCACTGATGGACTGGAGTGGTGTGGATTACTTGTGGAATATTGTGATGTTTTTATCAGCTGTTTGGACTCTCATTCTGACGGCACCCATTCACTGCAGAGGATCCACTGGTGAGCAAGTGATGTAATGCTACGTTTCTCCAAATCTGTGAAGAAACAAACTCAGCTACATCTTGGATGGAGTCAATTATGAACAAATTTTCATTTTCTGGTGAACCTTTCCTTGAACTATTATACACTTTAATAAAAGCATTGCGTTATTTTCAAAGGCAGGTTTAACTGTGATACCTGATATGTTCTGCACTGGCAGGTGGTACCGACTGCACTGGTGATGATGCAGTGCGGCTGCACTCTCGCTGAAGCACGGCATCATTTGGATTGTCATCCTGTGATTCGAGATGCAGTGAGCACCTGCTTCAATTCTTCCAAGACCAAAAGCACTAGGGACTAAACAACAAAATAATTTTGCCCCCATTTTTCATGAGCTGAGCTCAAAGATCTAAGACTTTTTCTATGTACACAAAAGGCCTATTTCTCTCAAATATTGTTCACAAATCTGTCTAAATCTGTGTTAGTGAGCACTTCTCCTTTGCCGAGATAATCCATCCGCCTCACAGGTGTGGCATATCAAGATGCTGATTAGACGGCATGATTATTGCACAGGTGTGCCTTAGGTTGGCCACAATACAAGGCCACTCTAAAATGTGCAGTTTTATGACACAGCACAATGCCACAGATGCCGCAAGTTTTGAGGGAGCGTGCAATTGGCATGCTGATTGCAGGAATGTCCACCAGAGCTGTTGCCCTTGAATTGAATGTTCATTTCTCTACCAAACATTTATTTGTTTGGTTCATTTCTCACATACTTTATTGTCCCTTTTATCTGCCATACAAAGTTTTGCCACCATATAATGTATTGGACTCAAATTAAAATACACTTAATAAAAACTAGTATCAATTGATTTTCAGATGGTTTTTTGAGAGTGTTAAAACACGTATAGAGGCCAGGAGATGTCTGCTGAGACCAGAGAACAAAGAGGGTGCATTTCTCGTCTGGAAGTGTGATGAGAATAATCAATATTACTTATCAGGTATGACAAGTGTGATTCACACACACACATAATATCTCAAGCCTCTACGCTTTTATTTAACTGTATTGTTTTGCACTTCAACCCAATAAAAAAAAAAAGAGATCTAGTAACAATAAACCAACCTTGATCTCAACTTGGAGAGTAGCTAAATAACATTTTCTACAAATTATTTCTTTTAAAGTGTGGAACGGCCTTCATGCACGGCATTACAGGGTCAAGAAGGGAGAAAACGACAAGCAGTTTTTCCTTGTTCATCACACAACCTTCCAGACCTTGTGTGAGCTGATAGAGTTTTACTCTAAAAATGAGGGTGGACTCTGCGCGAAGCTTCACGAACCCTGTGTGAAGGTCAGAGAAGAGTTACAACCTACAGATTAATGAAAGTACCGCAGCATCCTATAACGAAGTTTTCCAGCATAATTCCAATCTGTCCATTATTCTTCTAGCTGGACCAGCCAGCTCCTCTGACTCTGTCATTTGAAACCAAATGGGAGGTAGAGAGAAGCTCACTTACCAAAATAAAGAAGCTGGGCAGCGGGGAGTTTGCGGAGGTCTGGCAGGGGCTCTGGAACAACACCACAGAGGTGGCCATCAAAGAGTTCAAAGGTAATTCAGTTTAAATCAGTGTGTTCTCAACTGGTTTTACTTCATGTCCCATGTTTTACATTTAACACTGAGTGCCGACATAAAAGCAAACAAAATACCCTAAAAAATTAAGAAATGAAATTCATTAATATTCCCATAAACATATTTTGCTGTCGTGAATATAGGGTTTGTTGCATTTAGTATCATTTTTCACCGGCTAATCATGATCCAAAACAAACCTGTGATTTACTTTTAAAATTATGATCAATTGATATTATCTGTCCCACTTTACTTGCAGATGTCAACTATTCAAATATCAAAACAGAGATTGATATCATGAAAGAGCTGCATCATGAGCGTTTGCTGAAGCTCTACGCTGTGTGTACTAATAGTGAACCCATGTGTTTAGTCACAGAGCTCATGAAAAATGGCAGTTTAAAGCAATTTCTCATCAGTAAGTGAAGTAATATCAACTTGTTTGCAACTAAAAACACTATAAATATCATTACCTTCATTCTGACGTTAACTGACACATTGCTTTTGCAGAAAAAAAAGTGCTTTTTAAAAAATACGTTTATATTTTTCTTCAGGCCACAAAGAGAAACAAGACCTAGAGTTTTCAATCATGATGGATTTTGCCGTCCAGGTAACTTGATTTCTTTGAGAGTAATTCCGGCAATCTGGAATGTGATCAAAAATCATACGGCCAGTGTTCCTTAAAAACAATTAAGCTCAACATAAAAACTCCCATTTCTGAAAGAAACAAGAAAATCAATGGGAGGAACTGCAGGGCAGGATGGTGAAAGTATCTCTATATGACCTCTTTTATTAAAAATAAGAGCGGCTAGAAAAGGGTTTTCTGGAAACTTCAAAGCAGCGCTATTTTTAACCTAACTTTATAGTACATACAATTTTTTTTTTATCTTTAGAATAACATACACTGATAAATCATTATAACCTATATATGTCAATGCATTCTAAGTAAGAAATTCATACATTGATTTCTATGAAAAGGCTCCATTTATTGCTGTTAGTTTAAGTGGCCTAACACAGCAACACTGACATTAATGTTAGGGAGACAGGTGACATGTTCATTATTTTTGCAATTCCATTCGGTGCTGCTGTCATGCAAGATCAGCTGCTTCTCAAATTGATGCTTCCTCATTTCCTCGCTCCCGGAAATCGATCATCATGAAGGACATAGCAGTTCTCCAAATACACTCAAGGAGCTGAGGAATGAGGAAGCCCTCTATTTGGGGTTAAAACACCTTACAGATGCATAGAAACTCCCCATTCACATCTGCCACAACAGTCACATTTATTTAAAACATTTCTTATACCTCAGCAGTGCATCTTGCATTGTTAAAGGAACACTCCACTATTTTTGAAAATAGGCTCATTTTCCAACTCCCCTAGAGTTAAACAGTTGAGTTTTCGAATCCATTCAGCCGATCTCCGGGTCTGGCGGTAGCACTTTTAGCTGTAGCTTAGCATAGATCATTGAATCTGATTAGACCGTTAGCATCTCGCTTAAAAATGACCAAAGAGTTTCGATATTTTTCCTATTTACAACTTGAATCTTCTGTAGTTACATCGTGTACTAAGAACGACGGAAAATGAAAAGTTGCGATTTTCTAGGCCGATATGGCAAGGAACTATACTCTCATTCCGGCGTAATAATAATCAAGGAAATTTGCTGCCGATTTTCCAACTCCCCTAGAGTTAAACAGTTGAGTTTTCGAATCCATTCAGCCGATCTCCGGGTCTGGCGGTAGCACTTTTAGCTGTAGCTTAGCATAGATCATTGAATCTGATTAGACCGTTAGCATCTCACTCAAGAATGACCAAAGAGTTTCTATATTTTTCCTATTTAAAAATGGACTCTAATAATAATCAAGGAAATTTGCTGCCGTACCATGGGTGCAGCAGGCGCAATGATATTACGCAGCGCCTGAAAATAATCCCAGCTAGGTAACTTCCAACGGAAGGCACGCTTCCTGTGCAAGCAGGTGGTTACGTTGGTTATGTTGACAGAAGTTAGCCTGTTTTCAGAAGCTGCGTAATATCATTGCTCCTGCTGCACCCATGGTACGGCAGTAAAGTTCCTTAATTATTACGCCGGAATGAGAGCATAGTTCCTAGCCATATCGGCCTAGAAAATCACATCTTTTCATTTTCCGTCGGTCTTAGTACACGATGTAACTACAGAAGAGTCCAGTTTTAAATAGGAAAATATCAAAACTCTTTGGTCATTTTTTAAGCGAGATGCTAACGGTCTAATCAGATTCAATGATCTATGCTAAGCTACAGCTAAAAGTGCTACCGCCAGACCCGGAGATCGGCTGAATGGATTCGAAAACGGTAAAACTCAACTGTTTAACTCTAGGAGAGTTGGAAAATTAGTCTATTTTCAAAAATAGTGGTGTGTTCCTTTTACACTGATTTAAGGGTCACATTGTGCAATTGATTCTAAACCAAGGCCCGGAATTTATGGGGAATCTTTTTATTTAAGTGAATTAAATAAAGGATTTAAATGGATTTAGGTTGAATTGAAAAAAGAAAAATAGCAAAAGAATAAGAACTTCTTGTAAAGTAATCTATTTTAACTGTTTGAAAATAATATATAGCTACACACCAGAGTTGGATGAGATGCATTAATAGGCCTATTTAAAAATGCAAAAGGAAAAAAAATGCTTCTCATCTCGTCACATTCAATTATGAAATTTGACAACAAAATCGAGTAGCTTGCATCACATTACAGTTAGTCGTTTAACATTTTTATCGTAAAACATTTGTCAGATGTTTCCTATTTAGTTACTTACATCTTACCTCGCACTCTTTGACCATTGAAAACTGAAGCCATCTCAATCATTTTGACATTGTCAATACAACATTTTCCCCTCAATGTCTGTAGTAGTTTCGGCCCTTTGCTAAACTAAGTCACATACTGGATTTCTTTCTTTTTTAGATTACTGAAGGAATGATTTACATTGAGAATAAAATAGTTCACCGTGATCTGAGAGCCGATAACATTCTGCTTACCGACATGCAATGCTGCAAAATAGCCGATTTTGGACTCGCTGAAATTAACCTCGCTGGAAGCCACAGAATTTCATCTGGTGAGATATTTGATATGTTCGTTCAGGCATGTAAGACATACAAACACAAAGTGCATAACAGTTCTCATCTTTCTGCAGATATAAAGGTCCCTGTGAAATGGATGGCCCCTGAGATATTTGAGAACAAGGCTTACACAAGCAAGTGTGACGTCTGGTCTTTCGGCATCCTTTTAACTGAAATCGTGACGTATGGAGATGACCCATACCCTGGTAAACACATTTCATAACCCTAAACATAATACATGTGGTTGTAGTATCACATCTCACCCAACACATCTTTCTTCCACAATCTTAGGGATGGAAAAAATGTCATGCGTTCGGTCCATTCAGAGAGGAGAGCGGATGGAGAGACCTGCCGGCTGTCCCGAAGCGCTCTATGACATTATGCTGCTGTGCTGGAGGTCAAACCCTGAGGAGAGACCAACATTTACGGAGCTACGGGAGAAGCTGATGGCTCTCATACATGAGGCTGATTCTGAACTGGAGTAGATACTGTAGAAATGAGAGGGCTGAGACACTTTTGAGCTTAGATTATATGTAACCAACACATACAATCCCTTATAGTTTACAGAGGTAATATCTACTGAAATTGATGCAATATGGGTGAGTCTCATGAAAATGTAAAAAATGACCAAAAATATTACAGTAAAAATTACGGTAATGTGACTTTTTAAAATTCAAAACTGCATAAAGATATAAAATAATGTATGCAATTTGGAGCTAAAACTTAATTGTCATGGGAAAAGAAACTTAAAATGGCCTTAAAAAGGGGCTTCATTTTCTTAATGCAAAATTGTAAAATAAATAAATACATTTTGATTTAGGCAATTACATGTGACATGTTCTTGACAGGTTTCCTGAGATTCATTCATATGCAAACTGTGGCATAAATCTCTCAAACACGTGATTTAGAATGACTATTACTAGTGTTGCTAATCAGTATTACTAAAGGTGATTATGAAGTTTCTTAGTTTCCAAAAAGCTGTTTTACTATTCCCTGGTAAGCAGGAAATATTCAATTGTTGACTGACATTTTTGTGATCAAAGCTGCTGAACTAAAAAATGATGGCTATCTTGGCCCCAATGTAGAAACATTATGTCATGTGATCTTTGAACATTTGGTCATAGCAAATTAATGTACGATTTTTAAACTTTTATGTGAATTCTAAAAACTATTGTAGGAGCATGTATTTTCTGTGACCTGATAAAGAACATATTAATGTAATCATGTAAATCGGGATTGTTGCCACTACTGTAAGTGTACTTTTTAAAGAAGGTTTCCTTCTTCCTTCTGACAACATTTCAGATGACTCTTACATTACGAAAATATTTGAACAGCTCTAAATACTTGGAAAAAAACAAGCTCAAATTCTTTAAAGTAAATATCAATCTTTTCTATGAAGTATATACACAACCGGTCTAAAAGTTATTTTTAATATCTTTGAAATAAGTATCTTATGCTCACCAAGGCTGCATGTATCAGATTAAAAATACAGTAAAAACTGTATTATTGTGAAATATTTAAAATAACTATTTTTTTGTTTTATTATATTCTAAAATGTAATTTATTTCTATGCAAATATGCATTTTCAGCATCATTACGCTAGTCTTCAGTGTCACATGATCCTACAGAAATCATCCTAATATGCTGAAAATTCAGCTTTCCAGTCACAGGAATAAATTGCACTTTAAAATATATTAAAATAGAGAACACATTTTAAATTGCAAAATATTTTTCTGTTTTCACTGCATTTTTTTATCAGATAAATGCAGATTTGATGAGCATAAGAAACTAATTCTAAAACATTTAAGAATTCTTAATTATTCCAAACTTTTGTTGGTAGTAAACTGTATGAATGGCACTTGAACGGATGTCATCCCTTTTCTGGCCTGTGGTTTCAAAAGCAGAACACAAGGGTTGTTACATTGGAAATAAACGGGATAAACACATTTTAATCAATCTAGCATAGGCTATGTGAGATTAATGGTTTTCTCAACATATGCTGTAAAGTCTAGGCTTGTGTAACATCTATGCACCCTGCTGAACTACATTTACATAGGCTACCATTGACTTATAGCCGTTCTAGATTAATGACTGATGCAAGTCAACCTCAATCCTCTCTCCCTGCTACTCCCAATGCAATGGCAATGAGATTAGAATGACGCAAGATCTATTCAAGCTGCTGGACTCAAACTCTGCTGCAATTATTTGTACTTAAAGGTGCAATGTGTAATATTTACAACGATCGACTGACAGAAATGCAGTATAATATACATAACTACATTTTCAGATGTGTATAAAGACCTTACTTAATTAAACGTTATGTTTTTATTACCTTAGATTGAGCAATTTCTAACTATATACACGGCGGGTCCCCTTACATGGAAGTCGCCACCATGTTTCTACAGTAGCCCTAAACGGATAAACTGCTCTACAGAGCGTGTTTCGTCACTTTGTTGTTCTTGCCAATAAAACACTGTATAGTAAATATAATTCCTTAATTTTCCTTTGTAAAGAAATCTCATTGCTCTATGCTGTTTTTACCGACAACATCTTTACCTGTGTAGGCCGCCGTAGCTTCTCTAAAGGGAGGGGTGAGCGGGGGAACTGAGCCGTTGGTTGCAATTCACAATTTCACCCCTAGATGCCGCTAAAATTTACACACTGCACCTTTAAGTGTGTGTTCCCGACTATATCACTGAATATTTGAAGGACTAATAATGAAAAACACCTATAACAAAGAACACTACAATGTGGAAAATAAATAAATAAATGGTGCGAACCTGTGCAAAACTCACTGTAAATTATCTGCAAAAATCTGAAAGTCTGATTTGTGGAACTTGTGGAAACATGCTGTACACAAATACATAGATGTTACTATTTTAGCCACACAAAGCACTGTAACCTGTTTCAGGTTAAAAAAAACAAACAAACAAAAAAAAAAACCGGCCATGGCAGAGCAACAATACAAACAGAAACTTGATGAACAAGTCAGTGCAATTGTTGACATGTACATAGTCAGATACCTAAAACAACAAACTCCTAATTCTAAATATGTGCCGACCTGTTATGAAAACATAATGTGACATTCTCAGAGTTGAGCATTTATTACTGTAAATGTTACAGTACAATAGCAACATACAAGAAAAATTGGATCAAGGATGCTTTAAATACCACATATGGTGAGATCTTTTATCATGTAAAATGTGGCATCAAGCACCACTTCGCAGAATCAGAAAATCTTGCAAATTCAGAATTAAATAAAACTTAGTTAAGTCATTCCGTCATGGCAAAAAGTTGCTGCAGTAAACCGAACACGTCTCAAAAGCATTCTGGGTAATACCTCTTTCTTACATCATATTTGCAGTTGTATACTTTGAAATATAATTGTGCCATTTAGCACATAAACTAGAAGTTATGCAATGCTAACCTTGGTTAAGGTTTGAGCAAACAATGCATGAATAGTATAATACTTATAACATTCAGAACCCTGAGAATTCAATGTTAATTGGTCAAATGTACACGATTCTGTGACTGAGTATATACAGTATTTGACTGTGTACACGAATCCAGGAGTAAATATTTGTAAATGAAAGTTTGATGCCTTTTAACAGACTCAATAAAAATAATACATTGACTACACGATAAATATACAGAATTGTACAACATACAGTTTTGAAATGTCTATTTAGCTCTTTAGAAGTCTTTGAGATTAATCATCTCACATCATTTAAGTCCCATCTAAAGTAACATTAGTAATAAAGTGCTTTATATGCGGGAATATCAAATGTTTCTTCATTGGTCACCATAACATCATTGCCCTTTATTTTGTTCACTGGCCTTGTTGCTTATTTTAGGAGACACTTGCCATTCAGTCAAGCCATTGCACATGTCCTTGCGGTTTCCATGTGTCTCTTTGTACGCTGGTTGTTTAGTAATCACAACCATGCCATCTCCTTGACTTTCAACACTCTCCATGAAACTCTGAAGATCTTTCAGTTTAGCTGTTGGATTTATGCAGTTCTCCACGGATCCTGGTTGAGACTCCACTGATGTTCTCGTTACCCGTTTCGCTAGTGTGCTCTCCCAGTCATCAACAACAGCAACATCATTTTGCAAATCTTCCTCAACAGAGCTACATTTGTCCATTTCATTTTCTGTGTCTCCTTTGAGCTCCACCTCGATATTTACCTTTGGCGTCTTGCCGTTTTCTTCAGATCGGACTGTGTCCCGTCCCGTGTCTGATGTCCCATCTTTGTTGGTATCATCCTCTGCACATCCATCCTGGTTCCCACCAGCATTCTTCTCACTGGTGGACTCGTCATTTGAAGTTTCACCTTCAGTAGGTGTATCAACTTTATTTGACTTAGAATCACCTCCATCTTCTGCAGACTTGTCTTCTGTACTCTCTTTCCCAGTCTCAGTTTCTGCTTCCTTGTCAACCGATTCAATTCCTTCACCAATTTCTGTCATCTCATCATCTCTTTCTGCCTCCACAGCCATATCACTATTTTCTACATTTCCCGCATCTCCCTCAGGACTGTCTTTCTTCTCACAGTCCTCTTCTGTACTTCCTTCATTGTCAGCCTCTTCTTCAACAACCTCAACTTCCTCCTCAGCATCTGTCTTAACATTTACCACAATTTCTTCATTCTCCACCACTTCGTCACCCCCTTCCACATCAACACACTCGGTTTTGTCATTTGCTTCCTCTTCGTTTGGATGTCTTGTCTCAGAGTCTACAGACACATCTTTGATTTTTTCTGCATTTTTGCCTTCATCTACTGCATTGACAACACTGTCTGGCTCTTGATCTGCCATCTCAAATTTAAGGCCTCTAGTATCGTCATTCGCTTCCTCTACCACTTCATGAACCACTTCTAAGTTGTTCTCTTCTTTATTAACTGCACAAGTCACGCTGGTGGTGTGTTGTTCTTCCATCTTTGGTTCTGTAGGTTGGGCTGGATTCTTTTTCATTTGCAAAATTTTCCGCAGATCAAATTCTATCATAACTGGAGCCAAACTCAAAGCCTGAGCTTGCTGGGCTGCTCTGGATGCCATTTTCTTTTTCATGCATGCATCACATGGGCAGTATTCATCGTCACTGCGCTGGTCACTGTATTCTGTACCTGATGCAGTGTAATTTGCATCACTTCTCGACAAGATGGACTTATTGCGCATGACCCGAAGACGCTTGCGTCGCTGTTCAGTCTGGACCGTTGAGTCTCTTGATAGAGTATTTCCTGGAGGTCTCGGACCCCTGCCAGCCCGACTTTGAATTTTTTGCAGTTCGCGGTTAATACTCGATTGAATCCGTTTGTGCACTTCCTCTTTCAGCTCACTTATCATCTTATCGAGCATCTCATTGTCATCCAAATCCCACCTCACTTTGAACTCTGCCATGGCATCTGCGTAATGTAACATGAACTGCTTTTCTAGCTTGTTTAATAAGCTCAGCACCCAAACGGGATCTGGATCTTGTGAAACTCTTTTAGTAAGCGGAGCCCTCTGAACAGACGGTGGAGTTCCCGAGCTTGTATTTTCTTGAGATTTCATAGTATTACTCTCATTCCCAGAGCTCTTGTAAGAGGTTGTTTGTGGCGTTTGATCTGATTGATCCTCTTGCAATACACCATTTTCTTGGTCATCATCCAGTTGTGCATTTACT